AATGTGAGTTTTAATTAAGATTATTTTATATGGATTTTAACTTGTTTTATCTATGTTGTAAGCCGCCCCGAGGCTTCGGCGAATGGGGCGGCATAAAAATGTTTTAATAAATAAATAAAATAAGCAGTTGGCCAGAGTAAAGTAGGCCGCTGAAGATACTTTGGGGGAAAGGCTCACGTTCTCCCTTGAACCCGCGGCGCTCCAGAAGTGTCAGACTGCGCCTCCTGTTCTCTCCCAGGAGCAGGGCCACTGGAGGGAGGGGACTTTGTTCCCCCCACGGTGAGCAGCAGACCAAGGGGTGCTCAGTCCAGAATGCAGATGCAGGGACAGAAAAAATCAAAGCCCCACTACCTCACCACGGTCCCGATCCCGGTCAGTGGACCCTTGCAGGGACTGCCAGTTAAAGAAATACAAAGGTGCAACACCAAGCAACGTGCTAAAGGCCATGCCTTGTTTGGGTCCTGGAAACATAATCATGCAGAACAGGAGAGAACAGAAGCAGCAGCTGTTGACAACTGTATGTGATTTACAGGCTCAAACACAACATGTTCCAGGCTTCTGACTCCAGATGTGTCGGACGGCAAGCTGGCTGGGACTGCTGTTCAAAACATCTGGAGGGCACCTGGCTGGGAAGGCCTGCCTACAGCAGCACCTGCAGTGCATGCATGTGTGGCGTGTGCCAGGGGTGTGGGCGGCAAGGGGGATTCTCTGGCCACAGCTTACTGTCAGTTCCTCCAGGTTGGCAGGCAGCAGCTCCGGTTTGGGTGGTGAAGGGCATGTCGGCGTGGCAGGAGAGGGAAGAGGGAGCGGAGGAGGCCCACTTGGTGGGGCAGGTGTCCCAGGGAAGCTCAGGACCTGCTCTGGAGCGCTGCTGTGTGAAGAAGGAGGAGAGTCAGCACAAAAGGCAAACAGACCTCGAATCTGCTCCCCGACCAGCCGGCCTTTGCCTTGTGTATTGTCTGGGGAAAGAAACCGGATCAGCAGGCTCCCCTCTTCATCGGTGGCTTACTATTTATTTAGTTAAATGCATTCACACGCTGCCTTTCATCCGGACACCCACTCCTCCCTCGCCTCTTCAGTCCTTACGACAACCCTGCAAGGTAGGCCAAGCTGGGGAAAAAATGACTGGCCTCAGCCGAGTACTGCAGTCACGACAGCACATGAGCTTTCCCTAATCTACCACACAAGCTGCTGCAAAGACCAGGGGAAGTGCGGGTCGGGGAAGAACGGATGCTGTCTTGAGAGGTTCAAAGGGTGCTTATTAAAACGATTCATTTCAAACACAGTTAAAAATATTTACAATGTCTTTCCGAGGTTCTCTTCTCATCTGCCATCTTAATCCTCATCACAATCCCGTGAGAAGGTTAGGCAGAATGAACATGTCTGTGAGCTTTGTAGGGATGTGAAGCTGGGTTTCACTGTGTCTTACCTGATATTAGCCTAAATTTAAGCCCTGCTCAGTTAGGTATTGGCTCTGGCCGGGCCTGTTGTTGAAAAGCAGAACCCAACAGGTTTTAGCTGGAGCAATGTGTCCCTCAAGAAGTGTCTTGACGCAGCTATAACTGCCTGAGGCCCAGCATGATTAAGTGAGCAGTGCGGACTGGTGTCCTCCATATACGTGGACTGCTACTCCCATCATCCACAACCCTTGGCCGCACTGGCTGAGGCTCATGGAAGTTGTAGGTCAAAACACCTGGAGGACACCCTGTTGCCAACACCTGGTACAGTGGCCCCATCCCACCTTTCAGCCTAGCCTACCTCAAAGGGTTGTTGTGCAGATAAAACAGGGGAGGGAGTCACACATACATCTCTAAGTTCTTTGAAGGAAGGGCAGGATCTAAATAAGCTAAACATACAAAGAAATACAAACACTGTAATGGAGCCTGAATGAACACCTTGGGGGGGAAATTATGAGGGAAAAAACCCTGCGGCATTAATGCTGAACCTTTGCATACTAAACATGAAGGGCCTGAGGCTGGCCCCGCAGCAGTTCCACTGGTCGAGGGCCTGAGCAAATGCTCCACAAGCTATACCGGTGGAACTCCCAATCAGAGGCACTACCTGGCTGGGACGGTGTGCAGGGCTTGAACGCAGAAGGTGGTGGGGGGCGCCGACGTGGGCTGCTGCTGCTGGTTCAAGATCTGGAGCTGCAGAAAGACCTGCTGTTGCTGCAGGAGGCGCGCGTAGGCAGCATCCATGGGCACCGGCACCTGCTCCCCTTTCTGATCTGGAGGCATGTACTGGTGGTACTTCAGCTTCTTCACTTTGGGTCGCGGCTCCTTCGCCTTCTTGGGGCGCGGAGGTTTCCTGTTCTCAGAAACCTTGGCTGGGGCCTAGCAATAAGGCAAAATGAGTGGCGAGTTTCAGTGCATGAGTGGAAGCTGCAAAAGAGCAGGGTGTGTCTTTTGGGAGGCAGTACAGATTACTGATTAGAGCAGGAAAAGCCTAGAGCAGTGATGGGTAACCCTTTAGAGACCGAGTGCCCAAACTGCAATCCAAAACCCACTTACTTATCGCAAACTGCAAACACTGCAATAAAACCTGAATACTGAGGTTTTAGTTTAGAAAAAACAACTCACAGCCAGTCCAAGCAAATATATACATATCCTTGGCAGCGCACTGACCAGCCATGTAAGAGCTTGGACAAGTCGCAGCTACTGAGTCATGGCTCGTGATGTCATCGCCTAGTGCCACTACTCCTTTCCGAGCATGCGCATGGCCCCAAAGTATGCAGTTATATGATGTTTGGCTGTTGGGGCGATGCTGGGGCGACTTGGCCCCCATGCTGACAGAGAGGTCTCTGTGTGCCCGCTGTGGCATGTGTTCCGTAGGCTCACCATCACTGCCCTAACCCTAGCTTTCTCTGCACAGCTCACCATTTCTGCCCATTCTAAAAACATTCCAACCATCAAAATCACACTAGGGCACCACGTTTTTCTAACCCTAACCCTACCCTGGTGCACTCCCCTAACCCTAATATAGGGCAAAAGTTCCATTGAAAAGAGGGCAATCTTGAAAAAGCCTTCCTTGAGTAGCTTTTTCTGTGCAGCTCACCATTTCTGCCCATTCTGAGCACATTCCAACCATCAAAATCACACTAGGGCACCACGTTTTTCTAACCCTAACCCTACCCTGGTGCACTTCCCTAACCCTAATACAGGGCAAAAGTTCCATTGAAAAGAGGGC